GGAGAGGGAGAAGCAGGCTTTCTACTGAGCAGGGAGCCTGATGCGGGGCTTGATCCCAGGACCCTGGGATCATGACCTGAGCCGAAGGCAGAAGCTTAACCCAGTGAGCCACCAGTCGCCCTGATAGGATTGCTTTCATCTGTTGTTGCCTTGGGGTACTGTTCTGTTTTGTGAGTCTGTATTCTTATGCAGATTATTAAAATGTTTCATAATAGATTTGATAATGTTATGCTTTTCTGTATTAAAATTTTGTCGTGGAAATTAGGGTAAAATAATGGATCGTGTGTACACTGTAATTAATCATGCCCACTGTTGTGTTTGTTGTGTCCAGTTTTATTATTTTAACTAATGCTTCAAAGGTTATCTTACTCATAAAATTCTTACTCTGCTTAGTATTATTTCCCTATTACAACAGCACAGAAATGAAATTATTGGGTCAAAGAGTATGAACATATTTAAAGCCCTTAATATTTATCACTGTATTGCTTTTCAAAGAGATAGCAATTTAGATGACCACTACCAATATATAAATGTTATATTGCATACTTATTAATATTATCTTTCTAGGTTTCTTGTGATCCTCCCTTACCAAAAGAAGAAAGTAAAAGTGGCCAAAACCGGGTACCTGAAGAGGAGCCAACCACAGTCTCTGAATATTTCTTTAGTGATATCTTTATCGAAGTAGATGAAACAGAATAAAAGTCTTTTTTTTTTAATTGTTTTTTAAGTCTAGGATTTCCAGAGTCAAATATCAACTAAGCAGTTATTTAGAAAAAAGCATCACAGGCTATTTTTCTTTAGATTGATTTTGAATATCTAATGAGCTTGATTTGAAGTTCTTATAATCAGTGGAAAACATTGCTGAGGTTCCTTTCATTCTGATTGATTCAGCATTTTGGAAAATACAAAGCAATTAAGACTGCTTCTGAGACAGAAATAGCTTCTCTTGTTTACATTTTGACTCTCCTGTGCTGAACACACCATGGACATTTTGGAATGTTGTGGATAAATGTCTCTGTATAAATCACAGTGCTGACATATTTGGAGGTGGATTGTATTTAGCATTTAGCGAACTTCTTTCATAAAGGTTTTTTTCTGGGTTTTTTTGGGTTTTGTTTTTTGTTTTTTGTTTTGCTGAAGGCCTTTACAGTTGCCTCTAAGTATATGAAAGCATATTGTGAAACTCCACTTTAGTATGGTATATGTTAAAAACTTTTCTATTATGAGCTATTTGACTGGAAAATATGTATTTTTCTAATTTCATGTTGATGTTAACATTAGTCCTAATTGAACAAGTAGTATTTAAACTTATTTATAAAGATGAAACATCAAAAAGTTTATTTATTTTTAAATTTTTTATTTAAAAGAATATTCAGTTTTAATTATTTTCACCACTCAGATTATGGGTAAAGAAGACATTGACAAATTTATGTTTGTCCCATTTCCCTCTTTAATTTTAAAGATATTTAAAGTTATATCACTAAAAGTATTTGGATAGTAGATATGTTTTGAATACATTTTTTTCTCATAGTTTAGTATATTGAATTTGTACTGTGAAGTTTTTGTTTTTATTTTTTGGATAATCTCAGGATTTGTATGGGAAAAAAACCCCTTAATTTATGAGGGAGATTTACATTCAAAACTTAGTTCCTTTCACACACACACACACACACACACACACTCACACTCACACACATTCCTTTTTTTAAAAACTAATTTCTTGATAGTTTTTTCCCCCCATTAAATTTTGCTTAAGGGACACTTAGGCCTTTAAGCACAGAACATAATTGTGATGTTAAAACAGGAAATAAGATAATAAGACTTTATTTAGTCAGTGATTATCATCAGTATTAATTTAAGGGTTTTTAATTTTGAAATTTTGTTATTTACATATGTAATTCCATTATCCACCCACGCCGATCTTTGGTGGTTCAAATCAAACTTCTCAAAAACAGATTTATTCTTTTATTTGAAAAGCCTCAGAGCAGGAGTCAGAAACATTTTCTGCAAAATATCCTTCAATTTGTGGGCCACGTGGCCTCCGTGGCAACTGTTCAATTCTGCTGTTTCAGTGCTACTGAAAACAGCCACAAACAATACTGAAGGGATTGACATGGCTGGAATGAGCTTTTAGTTTGACCCCTACATTAGACAGTAATTTTCTTACCTTCAGGTGCTGACGTTTTATCTACGACATACATATATGTCATTCAAGTTATAAGTTGTGCATCACAATTAAAACTGTGTTGATTGCATTACAAAATGATCAGTATTTCAACTGGGAAGATATTTTAATGTTTAGATAATTGTGTTTATATATTGAAAAAAATAGTGGCCAAATTTCAAGTTCATTAGTAAAATAGGATATGGCTCAGCAAGTGTAACAATAATCCTAAAACTGGTATTAGAGCATTTCTTATTCATTGCTTTATAGTGAAATTTACAATTTAACTTTTTTGTCATAAAGGAGGATCTATAAATCTGAGTGAAAATTCTCAATAGGTATGCATTAATTTATTTCATGGCATTAATATATAACAGAAACCATGGTAGTAAATCACATTGCTATTTTAATGCCCTGTTTTTATAAAATTTTTAAAGTCTCACATTCTGAAACAGTTTCTTTCATTTAATTAATGTTAGTTTGGATGTTAGGTTGCCACAGTTAAACTATTATTTTATCCCTTGTGTAATATTTATTTTTTAACTTTGTTAACATCTGTCTCTTGTTCATCTATAATGAATTCATTTTATGGAAGATGTAACTTCTTACTATATAAGAAATAATTTTATCTTTGGGCATTCATTGTGTAAGAGAATCAAGTCAGCCAAGCTAAATTATCCTACTATTATATCCTTAAAACTAATCTGGGAAAATAAGAAACTTAATCATTGTATTTACCTTACAAGGTGGAAAGAATTAGTCACATCCTTTGTTTATAATCATGTAAAGATGATGTTGTGAAGAATTATTTTGTAAATCTTAAAGGTGGTATGAATAATGGTCTTTGTTTTCTTGACTTTTCCTCCTGAATACTTATGTCTTAGCAAGTGGTCAACATGATGGTTTTAAAAGCCTAATTGTTAGTAAATGATTGAGGCACAGTTAAAAATATGAATATCCACTGTTTACCACCATGTTATTCGAAATAGAAGTGACCATATATACTCTCTTGCTTGAAGGAGTTTTTGACAAAAAAGCAATATCTGTCATTTGTAAATTTTCTTGTTCTAAAGAAAGCAGTTATGTTCTATAGATATAAATTATGTAAATAAAAGTTATTTTATACTATTTCTGTTGTTTTTTTCTTTTCAAATGACTTAGATACTATTGTTTAACCAGAACTTGTCAGTTTTTCACCTACAGCGTGTACTTCCTTCCTTCTATAAAAATATAACTGGAAGAATTAATCTTTTGTCTTATATGCATGCTGTGAAGGATATTTTTTTGATCTTGTAAGAATAAAGAATAGACTTCCCCCTCCCTCCCATTCAGGACATGTGAAGAGTTGCTTTCTTGTTCATTTATTCCTGATATAATGAATTTTTAGATAGAAGAAAATCTCTTTTACTCTTTTTTCTTCCTACTTTGTTTTCTCTGTAGAGAAAGACAAATGGGAAACTTTAGTTCTGTGCATAATATAATCCTGGACTTCTGAAGTGCAGGATAGAATTTTTATCTTGAATTTGGTCATATCATCAAAGAGCTATATATATGAGCTGCCTACATTGTTTGTCTGCTTGTGTTTAGAGACATTATCTGAAATAGAATAAAAGCCTAAAGAAATTGATATTTTTACTGTAATGATATTACAGAGTTTTAAGAAATCATATCACCCAATATTCTATCTATGAGAATCCTACCTATGAGAATTTCTCCTTTGGCTTCAGTGCCAGGAATAACTGGGCTTCTGTTCAACTGGTCTGATTTTTTTTTTTTAATATGGGCTGTGTGAATCCTTGTAATATTTTCTTTTTCAATGCAAAGCTAAATTTAGGGTCAACCTATAGCAAGATAAAATACTTCACATCGCATGAGTTATGTACTAAACTCATTCTATTTTTTTACCCTCATTTCTACTCCTCCTTCCCCGATTTGTAAAGACTCTCACCTTTTTAAAAACAATAGGCTACTATTTTTATGCTAGACACAGTACTAACCTTTTAGTATGCATTATTTCATATTTTTAAAAATTATACATGGCTTAAAAAGTCAAGTAGTGCTATATTTCAGACAAGCTGTTTCTTCTGTTACTACCTACTTCTAAATATGGTTATTCTGTTATTTACAGAATTTACAATGTTAAACATTGTTAATTGACTTTCTGTCATGGTACTTAAAAATTTTAGCTTTCTTGGGGCACCTGGGTGGTTGAGTCAGTTAAGCATTTGCCTTGGGCTCAGGTCATGATCCCAGGATCCTGGGATCAAGCCCCTCTTTGGGCTTCCCGCTCAATGAGGAGCCTGCCTCTCCTCCCTCTGCCTGCTGCTCCCCCTACTTGTCTCTCTCTCTGTCAGGTAAATAAATAAAATCTTAAAAAAAAAAAAAAAAGAATTTTAGCTTTCTTAAAACTCCCCTCCTTGCTTCCCTCTTAATACGTTAATCATAAGGTTTAGTCCATATTTAGTATTGTTATTGCATTAATTGTAATTATTCAGTGCTGTACCACTTTATGTACTAAGGTGACATGGTAGAAGCTTTTGTTTTTCTTGGAGTTAATTGCTTCACTTTTTCATTTGCTTTGGGTTTTAACTTTCCACACCCTCCAGCAAATGTGTAAAATGCCTCTGCATATAATTTTCCACATGGCCAGACCATCAGATAAAGTGTTTTCTTCTTTTTTTTCATGGAAAACTTTCTGGAGCTCTTTCTTCCTGTTGTAAACTGGACTAGGGGCTTTACAGATCTCTACGTGCAGTACAGCTGTCCACATGAGACTTCCCTCGGCCATTACTCTGTGACTTCCTACCTCTCTTTCCTGGTTTAGATTCTGTTTCTTGAGCCCATGCCATTGTCTTTCTTGGTTTGTTTTGGAAGCCACATCTTCCACTGTTTACTGCAAGAGGGTACATGGGTGATAACATTATTTAAAACTTTTTGTCTGAAATTTCTTTATTCTCTCAGTTGGGCTATGAATAGAATTCCTCAATAATTTGGAAAATAATTTTTACATCATTTTGAAGGCATGCTCCATTGTCTTCCAGTTTTCAGTGTTTTTAAGTTTGGTGCCATTCTGATTCCCTATCCTCTGAATGTGTCTTGCCTATTTACAGTTTTTTGACCTGGTATTCTGCACAATAATGAGCTTTGGTGTAAGCCTGCCCTCCTTTCCTGCCCCTACATTCATGCTGCTGGACACTTAATGGACCTTTTTAATAGGGAAACTCATTTATGAGTTTCACAACCCCAAGATCAAGAGTTGCATTGCTCTATCACCTGAGCCACCAAGGCTCCCTAGTACTTGGTGTTCTTTGATACCATTATAAATGGATTTTAAAATGTTTTTTTCTAATTGTTTATTGCTGACATATTCAAAAACAACTGATTTTTGTATTACAATTAAGATTTTAACAATGGCATTTTCTATAACAACCATTCATAGTCTAGTCTTAAGGTTTTTTTTTTTAAAGATTTTATTTATTTATTTGATAGAGAATGAGAGACAGAGAGCACGAGAGGGAAGAGGGTCAGAGGGAGAAGCAGACTCCCTGCTGAGCAGGGAGCCCGATGTGGGACTCGATCCCGGGACTCCAGGATCATGACCTGAGCCGAAGGCAGTCGCTTAACCAACTGAGCCACCCAGGCACCCAAGGTTTTTGTTTTTTTTTTAAGACTTTATTTGAGAGAGCATGGGAGAGAGCATGAGCAGGGGGGAGGGGTAGAGGGAGAGGGAGAAGCAGACTCCCCACTGAGCAGGGAGCCCAATGTGGGGCTTGATCCCAGTACCCCGAGATCATGACTGACTGAGCCACCCAGGTGCCCGGTCTTAAGGTTTCAAACCAAGCCTTGGAGATATTAAAGCAAGCCTTTCAATATTATAGAATGCTATCTGACCACAACAGACAGAAACTCAATTATAATGATAAGATACACAGGGTAAGTATAAACTACTAAAATTTTAAATAAGTATAATATTAAGTATGAACTTAAATTGTTTAAAGATTTTATTTGAGAGAGACAGCGTCTGAGAGAGAAGGAGCGCACAAGCAGGGGGGAGGGGCAAAGGGAGAGGGAGAAGCAGACTCCCCACTGAGCAGGGAGCCCAACACAGGGCTTGATCCTAGGATCCGAGGACCCCGAGATCATGACCCGAGCAGAAGGCAGATGCCCAACTGACTGAGCCACCCAACCGCCCCAAGTATGAACTTAAATTTAATGCCAACCAGGAAACAATTGCTAACCTTTCATTTATCTAATAAATTTAACGGCTAGCAGAGTATCTAGTCTCCTTATAACATCTGTTTTCCCATCCTAATAATTTCTCATTCAATGGCTACAAAGTTTATAATCTCTAGCTTTGATTACATTTTCTAGCCAAGGTTTAAATTGGAAACGCTTAAAATTTTATTTCCACATTTCCTTCCCTTCTACAGATTTTTAAGATTCTTGATCTCATATTTTTATTTCCAAAATCTTAAAAATTTTTTTTCATAATCCTGTTCTTGTTTCATGAATGCAATGTTTTTTCATTTCTCTAAGGAAGTTACAGTTTCTTCTGTTCCTTGTACTACTGGTTTCTTCTGAGGTTTTCTTGGTTGTGGTGGGGGTCTTTTTGTCATTTTGAAAACTTTCCTCAAATGCCTGTTGATCCTTGGCTATCCGTGCATCTGTTAGAGAAAGTTTCTAAAAAGTTGATTGGGAACTTTTACAAGCTTACTAAAATGTAGATAGGATATGTCAATTTGTAGGTTACACTGTAGGTGCATTATTTTCCAAGGAGCTCTTCCATTGGGAAACCTCAAATATCACTCTACCCTTTCTGTGAAGTGGTAAGGTATCTCTAGATTCCTTCCTATATAAACCTGGTAGCCAGCATTTTAGAACTTGGAGGAAAAAGGGAGTTGGGGAACGGAATTTTTTTTTTTTTAATTTTATTTATTTATTTATTTATTTGAGAGAGAGAGAATGAGAGATAGAGAGCACGAGAGGGAAGAGGGTCCGAGGGAGAAGCAGACTCCCCGCTGGGAGCCCGATGCGGGACTCGATCCCAGGACTCCAGGATCATGACCTGAGCCGAAGGCAGTCGCTTAACCAACTGAGCCACCCAGGCGCCCGGGGAACGGAATTTCTTGAATTGGCCTCCAGACTTTGTTAATCTTGTTGGTTTCAATATGGCACTTCACTCTTGCCTAGTGTCCCTATATTTGGAACATCTGTGATTCAGTTTCTTCAGATAATATATATCTCCTATCTCCTGGGCAAAGTGGGAGTGGAAACCTAGGGTTCTAACTACTGCTTATACAGATTTTCAAGTAGTTGCACTGTCTCTTGGTCTCTACCACCTCTCCCCACACCTACCCACACCTTCCTCTGTTCCCAGTACCACCAATTCCTGAGCCTTCCAGGGATTTCTGGGAGGCAAATTTACTTACTTGTTTTTCTTTTACTGCAAACACTACTGCAAACATTTCAGCTTCCCTTTTTCCTGCTAAATTATTCCTATTTTTGCCTACTGTCTTCATGTTTCCTACTTTATTTTGGTTTTTAGAGAGGCAGAGTGCACATGCAATGGGAGGGGTACAAGGAGAGAAGGAGGGAGAATCCCAAGCAGGCTCCACACCCAGTGCAGAGCCTGACGTGGGGCTCGATCTTACCACCCTGAGATCGTGACCCGATCCGAAATCTAGAGTCGGTTGGTGGCTTAACTGACTGAGCCATCCAGGTGCCCCATACCTCCTACTTTAATTGAAGGTGGGATATGAATTCTTTTTTGGTGTTCCTTTGTTGCCGTGGGATCATTTATGAGAGAAAGAAGTAAAAACATCTTTATTTCCATCATGAAAGTTGAAATATTGTATTCCCTAAAGTAAAAAGTAAACTGAACACTATGAACAAATGTACATCAACAAACTGGATAACTAGATGAAATGGACAAATTCCTACCAACACAAAACCTACCAAGACTACATCACAAAGAAACAAAACTTGAATAGATCTATAGTGAGAAGACTGAATCAGTAATTAAAAAAAAACAAACAAAAAACCCAAACTAAAACAAAACAAAAACCTCCAGACAAAGAAAAGCACTGGACTTCATGGCTTCACTGGTAAATTCTACCAAACACTTAAAGAACTAAATCTCAAACTTTTACAAAAAATTGATAACACTTCCTGACCCGTTCTGAGGCCATCATAATCCTGATACCAAAGCCAGACAAAGATATAAGAACCTTATAGACCAATATCCCTAGTGCATGTTGATGCAAAAATCCTCAATAAAATACTGGTGAAATGAATTCAGCAGCATATTAAATGCTGAATAACTGAAATATACCACATTAACAGAATAAAGAAGAAAAAAGGCATACATGATCGTCTCAATTGATGCAGAAAAAGCATTTGACAAAATCCAACGCTCTTTCGTGATTAAAAAAAACCAACTAGAAAGAGAAGAAAACTACCTTAACATCATAAAGGCCACATATGAAAAATGCACAGCAAACATCATACTCAGTGGTGAAAGACTGAAAGCCTTTCCTTTGAAGATCAGGAACAAGGAAAGAATGTTCACTTTTGTCACTGCTAGTCAACATAGTACTGGAAGTCCTAGCCAGAGAAATTAGGCAAGAAATTAGGGAAGTCCTAGCCAGAGAAATAAAAGGCATTCAAACTGGAAGGAAAGAAGTAAAATTATATTTTGCAGATAATGAATATGTACAAAACCCTAAAGATCCCTCCCACACACACACGAAAAAATTGTTAGAATAAATGAATTTAACAAAGTACCAGGATACAAAGTCAACACACAAAAGTCAGGTGCACTTTTATACACTAACAATGAACAAGTTGAAAAGGAAGTTACAAAGACAATTCCATTTATAATAGTATTAAAAAGAATAAAATACAAAAAGAATAAAATAGGAATTAAGGTGTAAGACTTGCACAATGAAGGGCGCCTGGGTGGCTCAGTTGGTTGGGCGACTGCCTTCCGCTCAGGTCATGGTCCTGGACTCTCAGGATAGAGTCCCACATTGGGCTCCCTGTTCCTTCCGCTTCTCCCTCTGACCCTACCCCCTCGCATGCTCTCTAGGTCTCTCTCATTCTTTCTCTCAAATAAATAAAATCTTAAAAAAAAAAAGACTTGCACAATGAAAACTACAAAACATTGCCAAAAGAAATTAAGGAAGACACAAATACATGGGAACACATCCATGTCCATGGATTGTAAAACTTAATACTGTTAAAATGTCAACACTATGGAAAGGTGAGCAACAGATTCAATATAATTCCTACCAAAACCCCAATGACATTTTTTTTTTTTGCAGAAACAGAAAAACCCATACTAAAAATAATACGGAATCTCAAGAAACTGGCCCTAGATAGCCAAAAACAAAAATAAAACGAAACGAGAAAACATGAAAAAGAAGACAAAGCTGGAAGAAAGACTCATGAAGTTGTAAGACCCAGCGCCAGAAAAGCAATGGACGCAGGAGACACTGAAGAAATATTTGTTGAATGAATAAATATGTATCTCTAAAGAGTTTTGTTTCTTAGGGCAGCTTAATGCCTGTTCAGTTTCCAGCTCTCATATAAGGATACGATTTTTCATGTCCCAGTCCCTTTCTATTAACAGGGGAAGAAGAAAACAGCACGTAAACAGTAAACTGAGACGGACGCCAGAGAAACCGAACCTTACCGGGCCAGCTCAGCCCCGAGAGTGGATATGTGGTATCCAAGGTAGCTCCGCCTCCGGACCGCGGAGTTCCCGAGCTCGCGAGGTGACAGGACCTCGCGGGGCTGCGCCTCTGCCCTGATTGGCTGAGTTCAGGGGGCGTGGTGCGCAGCGACGACCGGTTATGGCCAGCGTGCGCGGACACGTGCCTCGGCTGGCCTGAGAATCTGGGGTTTTCGGGCGGTTTTGGGGCTGCAAGGAGAGCGGAGCGGTAGCCCGAATCCGGGCATCCGGAGGGGAAAGAACCGACTCTCAGCGTGCCCGGTACCCTTTCTGGAGCTGGTCCCTCGCTCCCTGCCGGCTGTCATGTGGGCTGTCCTGAGGTCAGCCCTGCGGCCCTGCGCCCGCGCCTTTGTGCCCGGGCCGCGCGCTTATCACGGGGACTTGGTGGCCACGCTGGGCACCCAGCCAGACTCGGGCTCTGCCATCTACCAGGTAGGCTGGGTGAGCGCCCCGGCAGCCCGGGCCTGGAATCCCCTGAGTGAGCCTCTGAGTCCTCTTCCACCTGTCCGCCAGTGCCGGCCCGACTAGGAAGCAGGTGGAGGGTGGGCACACTTTAACAGCTCTTTTGTTTTCTCTGGAACCCCCAGTCCTGATTCTGGGACGCAGCGTAGGTCGTGAAGTTTGCAAAAGAAGATAATTCCAAATCAAATACATCTTAGTTCACTTTTAGCCCTGGCACTGTGCATTGTATCTTTTGAAATCAGTGGTTCTCAAAATCTGAGATCAGTGGTTCTCAAAACTGGTTCTCAAAACCTGACAATGCTGAGCATTGTCAGCTGAGGAACTTGTTCAGTGTACAGCTGCTTTAAGACCCACGCTGGACCTTTGGGGTCTCTGGGGTGGGGTCTTGGTGTTTGCATTCCTAATGAAATCCTCAGGACTTGGCGGCGGCCAGCTTTGGTAACCACTGGCCTAGCACAGATAACCCTGGGTTGTGCCTGAAAGACTTTAGTTGAATAGTTGTTAATAGAACGTACTTATCGCACACTATCTTGAATGGCCTTTTTTGGAATCGGGAGGTATAGCAAGGTCAAAGAAACAGCTTGTGAAGTATCAGGGCTGGAAAATTTCACCCTGTTCCATGGTTTCTGAGCTTATACAGATAACGTTTAAATTGTACAGATAACTTTCAGAAAAGACATTTTAAACAGTTTCTTGAAATTGAAAGAAAATAAGCAGGCTGAGTCAGAAACAATAGCCAATTAGAGTCTTCCAAGAGTCTAGATTTTTGGGGAGTCAGGAAAGAATGTTTAATTCAGTAATATTAAGTGGTTTCTGTGGTCTAGGTAGTATTTTAGGTATTTGGTATAGGTGTGTAGGAATGGAATCATAATTTTGTGGGGAAGATGGACAAGAAAGCGTGTAACTGTAGTGCATTATGATAAGTGGTGTCTAAAGCTTGAAAAGGTAGTTACAGAAAGCTGCAGATAGGAAGCGATGAGTGAGTTGGACCTTGATCGTTGGATGAGAGCTGGCCAGGTTCAGGGCTGAGGAGGAAAGGCAAGACTATACCAACTAAGGGAGTTATGAGAACATAGATAAGCAAGTTACGAAAGAGTATAGTGAGTATGAGGACTTCGAAGTCATGACTAGGGTATGGAATTCATGGAGTAGATGAGAGTAGTGGAGGGCCTTGCATGCAGAAGCCACATTCACGTTTCATTTTGCAGGCTGTCTGCTAAGAAACAACGTGGAGAAGCCGCAAAATCCTATGGACGTGGTAGAATCATCAGTGCGGTGGCAGTACGGAGGATAGATTTCCTCCCATTTGGAATATGGCTTCTTGGCTGGGTGTTGTGGTTGCTGTAGGCCTTTGACTATTTTCTGGAGCTTCTTTAAGGTTATTTTAGCCAGTTTTGGGTCATTTTGGGGTGTGTCTGTGGAGAATGAAGGCGTGGAGCTTCCTGGTCTACCATCTTTTTCGGCTTTAGGTTCAGTCTGTGTTTCTGATGGTGGCTGTTGGCTAGGGGTTAGGGAGTGTGGGCCTGAGCATATAACTCCTTTCTCTGTGTCAGGTGTTTAATGTTCTGGTCTAGTCTGTGCACTAGTAATTAGGGAAGTAGTTGTGGTAGGATGCAAAAGGCACTGGTCTAGTCTTTCATGTGTGTTAAAAACTAACGACATATTTCCACGGAGAAAAAAAACCCTGAAGGGAAATAGGCGAAAGTGTTAACAGGGGTCTGTATGAGTGGGCATATACAGTGTAACATATTGGTGTAAGAGCAAGGGTCTGGGGCTAGTGTGCCTTGGTTTAAATTCCAGCTCTACTACTTGTTAGCTGAGTGATTTGGGGCTAGTTACTTAACCTCTGTGTGCCTCAGTTACCTCAGGTGTACAGTAGCATTAATAATTGCATATGTTATAGAGTCATCAGGACAGTGACCACTTACAACATGGTCTGGGATATAATAAGCCCTCAAGAAATATTAGCTCTTGCAACTTTTCCTTCTTTCCACATCGTCATCTCAGGATCTGTTTAGCCACCTTTTGCTTCAGTAATGCTGAATAGCAGACAGTCCCAAGATCTCTGTGTCCAAAAGAACAAATATTTACCTTTTGCTCTGGGATCTGTGGGTTCGTTGTGGCAGTTCTTGCCCGGGCAGTGCTTCCAATGCAGGTCTGCTCTATTTGTTTTTGATTCCAGAACCCAGGCAGAAGGGACAGTGGCTACTGAGAGATGCTCCTCTCCTAATGGAAGGCCAGGGCACAGGAGGAGAGTATGGAAACACTGTCCCTCTTAGAGCCTCTGCTTGCAGTTGATACACTTCACTTTTGCCCACATTCCACTGGTCAAAGCAGGTAAAATGGACAGATTCATGGAGTGTGGGTGGGGAACTATAATCTCACACTGAACCTTGCTATTATTAACAGATTATTGATATTCAGTAATGGTCCAGAGGGACAGAAGAATTTTGGACACGTAGTACAATCTGCCTTATGCTCTAGAGGTGGCTGCTTAAGTGCCACCTATTATGTATGAGTTCAGGTAAAGGAGGAGGAAGGGTGAGTAGGCAAAAGGACACCCTCACCTGCCTGTTCTCTTTTTAAGAAGCCTTTCTAGAAGTCATGCCTAACGACTTCTTGCCTATATTTCCTTGGTTAGAATTAAGTCCCATGGCCACACCTGTCTACAAAAGGAGGCTAGGATGTTAGTTTCTCAGCGGGGGCATGTTGTCACCTTGAATAAAAGTGGGATTTCATCATCAAGAAAGATGGGAAGAATGGATATGGATAAGCAGTTCTCAGTGCCTGCCGCAGATAATAAATAGTATGGAGATTGGATGTGTTCTTCATATGTTGGATGTTAAAAGATTTCACTTAGGTGTACCCTTATCTTCTGGGACCTCTACCTACAAGTAGTAAACTTTTTTTTTTTAAGATTTTATTTATTCATTTGAGACAGAGAGGTACAGAGAGAGAGAGCCTGAGCAGGGTGAGAGGCAGAGGGAGAAGCAGGCTTCCCGCTGAGCCAGGAGCCTGATGTGGGGCTCGATCCCAGGACCCTGGGTTTATGACCTGAGCCGAAGGCAGACGCTTAACCATCTGAGCCACCTAGCCATCCCTACAAGTAGTAAACTTTGATGCAAACAACCCACAAGAGGGAAATAAAAGATAAAGCCATGCCTTAGATGGGAGATGGCACATGGGAGCCCTGGCCACGGTTCGGTTTCTCTGCACAATTTTCTTAGTAGCTAGGAATATGTACTGTTCGCTGTCACTTCTTATGGCCATGTGCTTCAGAAAGCCTTGGCAATTAGAGACAGTTTCCTTTATTTCTTGACTGGGAGGCTGGCTTAGCTAGGGTAAAGAGCCCTCAAATAACTAGCTTTAGTTTTGATTGACTTTGTTCTAAATTGGGCGATGTCAGAGGCTGTAGTGATTGTACCTTGGGTTTAAGTACACTTTAGTAGAGAGTTACTTGTTTTCTCTGTGCATGTGGGAACTATTTTTCATCACTTCTAAACTTTGATGCTTGTGTTTTGCAAAGTTGACAGGAGACTGGGAGGTAGAGTGCAGGTGGAAGGAGGTCAGCTAATTCTTGATGAGCTGGGTGGGGGAAGAAACTAAGGGCGCAGCAGAATTCCATCAGCCTCTCAATCTTCAAGGGAATGAGAACTTGTTAAGGGACACTGGGAGGATACACTTAGCATTGCGGGGAAAAGTTTATGGGACAAACAGAACATATCAAGACAAAAAAAAAAAGATGGGCGAACTTACATTTCAGAAAAGACTTAAGAGACATCAGCCAATTGTGGCTATACAGACCTTCCATAGAGTCCTATTTAAATAAGCAAACTTTAAAAAACATCTATTTGCCAGTTGAGGAAATGTCTTCACTAATTGGTATTTGCTGTTTTTTTTTAAAGATTTTATTTATTTATTTGACAGAGAGAGAGAGAGAGAGGAATCATAGGAAGGCAGAGCGGCAGGCAGAGGGAGAGGGAGAAGCAGGCTTCCCGCTGAGCAGGGAGCCCGGGGCTCGATCCCAGGACTCTGGGATCATGACCTGAGCCGAAGGCAGACGCTTAATCGATTGAGCCACCCAGGCGCCCCTGGGTATTTGCTGTTTTTAACAGATTATTGATACTCAGTAATGGTCCTCATCTTTTGGAGATTTGGAAATACTGGCTACAGAAGGAGTGCTATGTCTAGGATTTTCTTCAAAATAATTCAGGGTGTGGGTGTGGGGCAAGAAGGAAACAACTTTGGCCATATATGGATAATTAATTGTTGAAGGACATTGGCTACATTTCATTATGCTAGTCTTCTTGTTTTTGTATGTGTTTGAAAATTTCCATGGAAGAAAGTTAACTTTCTTTTTCTATTTATTTGAGAGAGAGAGCTCGCAAGCATGAGTGGGAGTTGGGGTGGGGGAGGGGCAGAGGGAGAAGCAGATGCCTCACTAAGCAGGGAGCCTGATTCGGGACTCGATCCCAGGACCCTGGGATCATGACCTGAGCTGAAGGCAGATGCTTAACCGACTGAGCCATCCAGGTGCCCCAGCTTTCTTCCATTAACAACAATGACAAACCGCATTTAAGGGGAGCTGAAAATGTTAATGAAACCCCTACCTTTTCACTTTGTCATGCTCTAACCTGTCTGTTCGTATCCTAGTGCTGCTGAGCTAAGCAGGACTGAGCAGAAGATAGTATGTCATAATGAGTGGATGGACTTGCTTGAGAATTAGCCCCATATAATGTCACTGGAAAAAAACATTTTTTCTTCATCTTAGCAATTTTATTTATTTATTTATTTTTAAAGATTTTATTTATTTATTTGTGAGAGAGAGGGCGAGAGCTCAAGCAGGGGGAGCGGCAGGCAGAGGGAGAAGCTTACTCCCCGCTGAGCAAGGAGCCCGATGTGGGACTCCATCCCAGGACCCTGGGATCATGACCTGAGCTGAAGGCAGAGACTTAACCGACTGAACCACCCAGGCATCCCATCATTTTATCAATTTTAAACTAACAAAATAGGATTATTCCTAGGTAAATGTATTAACCTTTCACATACCTTGCTGCGATAATAGGTATTCAGGTTTTTTCTGCATTGGCACTAAATTCCTTTCCTTCCTTCCTTCCTTCCTTCCTTCATTTACTTATTTATGTTAGAGAGAGAGAGTGAATGCAGGGGTTGGGGAGAGGGAGAGAGAGAATCTTTTTTAAAATTTATATTTTTTAAATTTAAAATCAGTTAATTAACATATAGTATATTATTAGTTTCAGAGGTAGAGTTTAGTGATTCATCAGTTGCATATAACACCCAGTGCTCATTACATCAAGTGCCCTCCTTATTGCCCATCACCCAGTTACCCCATCTCTCCACTCCCTCCCCTCCAGCAACCCTCAGGTTGTTCCCTATAGTTAAGAGTCTCTTACGGTTTGTCTCCCTCTCTGATTTCACCTTATTTTATTTTTCCCTCCCTTCCCCTAGGTTCATCTGTTTTCTTTCTTAAATGGAGAGAGAGAATCTTAAGCAGGCTCCATGCCCAGCATGCCCAATGCGGGGCTTAATCTTAAAATCCTGAGATCATGACCGGAACAGAAATTGAGTTGGATGCTTAACCGACTGAGCCACCCAGGCGCCTCATTAAATTCCTTTTATTGAACTTGGAGTCACATGTGGAACAATATACGTGGCCTCTCTTTTCCTACAGTGCATTTTTCAGATTATCTTTTAATGATTACTAAAAAGTGAAGAGATACAAGGGTTAACAGGATGAGGTTCCTTTCGAGAAATGCCATAAACTCAAAATGAGCAAGTCTTTTGTTAAAGACCACAGAATCAGTCAGTTTGTGAATTGGAGAAATTGCTGAGCTGTGAGTGGCAGAGATTGGAAGTGGAATTCCAAATAGTGGCGCATTTGGGAAGGCTGGCTGCCCTGATGAAGGCACTTCACCATCCATGGGGATTCTTAAGATCAGGGTTTCTGAGGTGTGCCCTGCTGGCTCAGTCAGTACAGCACACGACTCTTGCTCTCCGGGGTCCTGAGTTTGAGCCCCACGTTGGGCCTAGAGCTTACTTAAAAAAAAAAAGGGGGGAAGTTCTCTGAAACACTAAGCCACCTATGTGGTGGATTTTTAACCTTAGAATAAAGGTAGAAGTTGACAAGATAGACTTGAAGCAGCAAACAAGCAAAAAATAATAACTTTGCCTGTGCAGTGAAATAATCTGCTTTCCTTTCTATTTAGCAACATAGTAATCCGATCCTTTCCTCACCCTGTGGGGTGAGCAGCAGGTAGAGGGAGCCCAGGGCCTGAGGCCAGAATAGCACCCATCTCTGAGCCCCAGGGTGGCAGCTGCAGCCCAGGGTCAGATGAGAGAGCCTCACAGAGAAGATGGCCTTTGGCTCCAGATGGGAGTTGGCCACCAAATACCGTCTCCCAGAGCTCTTCTCTGCCTCCAGGTTTTGTTTGTCCAAGGAGGTGTTTTCCTTACAAACTCCCTCTGCTGGATCTCTCGCAGATGACAAAGGAGTTCAGGACACAGCCCCTACTTACTAGGACTCGTTCTCAGCCCAGGAGGCTCTTGGGACAGAGGTAGCTCCCTTTACGCTTGGGATGTTGGGTTTTGAAAGGCTGCTGAAAATCTCTTCATGCCCTTCAAGTGGCGTTATACATGTTGCTGCAGTACCACCCCTGGGTGACGGGCGGGACAGACGTGCCCTGGTGCAGAGCTCTGTTTCGGTCTGAGGCAGTTCATAAAGTTAGGAGTTTCTGAATTGGCTAAATGTGAGTAAACAGGATCTGTAACCTGGGCTTAAGAGCAAAAGTGTTGGCTTTCACTGCCTCATGCTATTAATATCAACAAACACTATGGAAATCTGAAAAAGTTCTGGTGATTAAAGAACTGTGCCTTTTACCAAATCCCCTTTTTTGGTAGGTTTCCAGTTTGCCTGGAGTGGAGCTCAGAAATGGAGACTGTGGACCAGCGTTGCTCTGCTTTTGGTTGGACATTTGAATCCTTGCGGAACTTAAAGTGATTAATGCCCAGGCCATACCTGCAACCAATGACATCAGAATCTCTGGGGTTTATTTTTGTTTTCATTTTTCAAAGCTTCCTAGTGATTCCAGTGTCCAGCCCAGGTTGGGAAACAACGTTCTAGGCAGATTCTGGAGTTCGTTGTTGGCAGGTTGTCTGCCCTTGGACCGACAGGACTTGGTGGGCCTCGAAGGGAGGTAGTCACAGGGCTAGTAGACCGTGATTGGGACCTCCCTACTCCAGGGCAAAGGTTCTTTCCCTAACAGTATGCTGCTTCTCTCTTTTTTGTCTTCTGGATCTTGCAGAGCAAGAGAATGTAGCAGAAACCTTGACCTTGGGAGCTCTTAGAGCTGTAGAAAATAAGAAATACTAGAGTTCTATAAAGACTGTAAATTCATCTAATTTTGAACAGCTGGAAAGCTGTGTAGTACTGTGTCATGGAAAAGGAATTAAATCAGATGTTAAAGACATTGTGGGGAGCAAAATGTGTTAGTGGTTCAACTTGGAATTTTCAAAAAGAACTTGCTACTTATTGGTCTAAAGTAATGAGCTGATCAGACAAAATTTACAGAACAGCAAAAAGTTAGGCCCTCTACCCTTTATCCACCTCTCACAGTTTATATTCTCCTGTATATTACTCTAGAGAATTTCTAAAGACGTGCAAACATAAGAGTTTTGTTCCCTTTTAAAACAAAATAGGACCTGTTTTTTCCCCCTGGGCTCTGCTTTTAAGAGTAATTTGTCAGTAAGCAAGTATTTCTGCATTGGTTAGAAACTCCTTGGGGCAGGTATTGAAGGGACATGAAAAGTAAGATGGCATTCTAACTCTCAAAGGGCTTACATTCCTTAAAATAGGGAAACAAATAGAAATCAATGAAGTTCAGTTGATGCTTATGGAAGAAAGATGCTAAAATGAATAGGAGTGACCAGAAATGGGGTTAGAGAGGAGAGGCAACATGATCTATGCTTTAAAGAAGGGTAAGATTTGGATACGTGGACCAGAGAGGGATGGCGGGAAGAGGAGCTTGGGCAAAGATGGACAGGCAGGAATTCATCTTTTCCATCCGATGGAGTGACACAACACAGAGGCCACATGGGTGGGGGGTGGCCCTGCGTGAAGCCACATGGGGTTGGCATGTGGTGTTCTCATCAACTCTTTGGCTAAAAAAAAAAAAAAATTGCTTTCTAATATTACTCTCCCTTTCTTTTTTTCTGTTTTAGGAAAACTATGAACAGATGAAAGCACTAGTAAATCAACTCCGTGAACGAGCGGAGGAAATAAGATTAGGTAAACATTCATTTATTCTTCATTTTATGCTGTTAATGAAGATGATCCTTGATAGTTATTGTTCTAGGAGAAACTAGTAGCAGCGAGCTTTGACTCTTTAAGACTGTGTATTTGTTGGTGTGCTGACATTTTATTTTTTCCTCTTACTTGGCCAGTTTTTCTGCTCCTATAGCACTGCCAACTGTCTGGGCAACAGTTAAATTTCAGATTCATCAATTTTAAAGCATTGCTTCTTATGGTTTATTTTAGCCACGGCATCCACTGAAATTTTTGTTTAGCCTGAAGCAACTGAAACATTTTCTGTTCGTTATATTCATCCTATGTACTTATTTTGCATAATTATGCATTTTGTTATATAACTTGGAAGTAATTTCTGTGTGGGTTTGTTGCTAATTAAATGAGATTTCCTAAGAACTTTGCAGATTGTCATTATTTTCTGTTAAGTTGTGGACATAATAGACATCCTTTTGCTTGGAAGAAATTGCATCATGTAGGGAATGTAAAATATTAATGTATAAACAAATACCACGTTGAATTCGACTGTGCCATTATTGATCAGTGTCACAGTTTACTTTAGAAGGCTACGTGACTTGAAACTGAAAGCCATTTCCAAAATAAGATTTTTTTTTTTTTAAGATTTTATATATTTATTTGATAGAGAGATAGCGTGCGCAAGCGGGGGAGCAGCAGGCAGAGGGATAAGCAGGGAGCCCGATGCAGGGCTCGATCCCAAAACCCTGGGATCATGACCTGAGCCAAAGGTAGATGCTTACCTGCCTGAGCCACCCAGGCGCCCCTCGATGCACATAGTTCGAGCAATGCATGTAGTACAGTTGAAGTGACATTTGTGCAGTGCAGGCACGGGCGGACAGATGTGTTGTGATGTCCCCAGCTGACAGCGATTAAAAGATCCTGTAAACTGTAAAATGCTTCCTGATTTCAGGGATGTTAAAATGTGAACAAAATGTGTATATTAGAATCAGTGCCATATGGTATATGAGACTGAAGGAAACAGGCTTTTTTATCTCAGAGTTTGTGGAAACGGAGATAGCACAGAATCTTTAAGAATAATCTTCCGAAAACTGATGTGCAGTGTCACATTGTTTCTGTGGCTACCTACATATCCTAGGCTAGTTTATTTATTTTTTTATTTTTAAAAATTTTTATTTATTTATTTGTCAGAGAGCGAGAGAGAGAGAGCACAAGTGGGAGGACGGCCAGCAGGCAGAGGGGGAGGGAGAAGCAGACTCCCCACCAAGCAAGGAGCCCAATGTGGGACTTGATCCCAGGACCCTGAGATCATGACCTGAGCCGAAGGCAGACACTTAACCCACCGGGCCATCTGGATGTCCTGTCACAGGCTAGTTTAAATGCCCGAGGAGCTTAATTCTGTGATCTGAGAATCTGCATCAAGGATAGCCATGTTTCTGGGTTTTCCTAACAAAACCAGAATTCAGTAGCTGTTCCACATTGCAAATTCAGACTCTAGGCAGAATTAAGAAAGAGCGGTTTTGTCTTAAGTCCTTGTGAAAGAATATGCGTATATCTTACCACCTCTGTGACATTCCAGACCCTCTGGCCACCCCTTCGCAGGCACTTCTGTCCCCTGACTCTCTAAAGACCCTCAGCAAGGCCTGGCTTTCCTTTCAGTGCCTTAGGCTCATTTTTCTTTTAATATTTATTTTTAAACACTAGTATTAAAGTATAATTGACATACAATAAACTGCATTATTTAAAATGTACAATTTGAGTTTTGACATATGGACATACCTGTGAAATGATCACCACAGTAAAGATAATGTGCCTCTTCCAGAAGTTTCCTCTGTCCCTTGGTAACCTGTATCTCCCCTCCTTTCATATACCCTCACCTCCTACACCCAAACCCACCTCAGTAGAGGAGCTCATTTTCTCTGAGTAGTTGGGAGAAAGAGAACAGTGATTTGACCTAATTACACTGTTTTGGAACTAAATCTTTGCCTCCCAGAATTATTTTCATTTTAAAAGAAGGTTAGATATGTGATAAAATTTTCTTGGTAAGCTTAAGGCAGATATAATCTTAGAGATATGCCATCCGTCCCTTCAGAAAAAAAAAAAATCCCCTTAGAGTAAAGAGGCCTGGTTTGAAAAATAATACTTGGAAGCTTGAAGTAGACAAGAACTTGTTTTCTCACCTAAAAAAAAAAAAAAACAACCCAAAGAAATAGCTTTCTTAAATAGCTGAACACTTCATTAGCTTGAGAACAAATTAAGATGAAATTCGTGGGCAGCAGTGAAACTAACATTAAGGTACTGTGTGATCCTTCTGTTTCTGATCTGATACCTTGGCTTTCTGAGAAGTGGCTTGTCAATATTCCTAAGACACTGAGCCCGGCCGCTGTCAGTCTGGGGGAGGTTTGGTGTGCTGCGCACCTCAAGCAGCCTCATCTGGTGACCTCATGGACTCTTCAACAACTAATTTTCTTGGTCTAGAACAACATCAGGAAACATCGAAGACAATCTCTGAAGATGTTAACAAAACTGGACTTTTTAACTGATGTATTTGGTGTGCAACTCTCTCCTCTTTGGAGACAGTGTAAAAAGTTAGGGGTCACTTACCTTTAGGTAAGTCCTGCTGTGCTCATCATGGAGGTCATTTCTAAAATAGTGCTTTTTACCTCGAACAAATGAAGGTAGGAATTTTTCAAATTTCACATAGTATGTAGCAGAGTGCTAGGTATTTGTGGCAGGTATTTAATAAATGTGGTGTAGGTGAGGCAGTATTTACAGTGTATGAGTTGCAGAGAAGATACTAGGTTATTTAAGTAATTACCATCGAATTCAGAAAATGTATGATATGCTATGAAATCAGGGATCGATTTTTTTTTTAATTCTAGTTTATTTACTTCAGAAACTAAAGCTTGTAAGTTGAGTGAATGATCTGAAAATTAGCTCTTTCTCAGAAGATATATTGAACTTTTAAAAGCACTGTATTTTGCACTGTTTTATGTTTTTCTAGCCTTAAATTAATTGGAGACCTTACATGATGTCAGTCTAATCTAATCATGTTTTTATCTTAGGAGGTAATGAGAAAGCCCGAGAACTCCACAAATCAAGAGGAAAACTTTTAGCCAGAGAAAGAGTGGACAGTCTTATAGACCCAGGGTTCGTATATCCCAAGTGCTAACTCAGTGTTCTCTAGTCTGTGGTACTCTCTTAGACAGTTTTATAAATAAATGATTTTAAATTCTGGTTCTTACCCTAAGATTTAACAACAAATTTTTTTTTTTTTTTACATACACATATTTTATTATAGACAAAGAACAAAGTTTCATCAGGTAAGCAAAAGGATATAAATTATAGTCATAATTAATAGTTTCAAAAAGCCCTTAAATCACTGGGACCTTCTGTACAACATATAGGCCACATAGCCATTAATCAGAACTCTTGGTAGTTCTCCCATAAGAGTAATCTATAGTCTAGAGAAGTTGGCTTTTTACGAACTGTCGGGGCTAATGTGTTAGGCCTTGTAAAGGAATGCTGTTACAACTGGGGGAAACTAAAAATATTGAAGGGAGGACTACTTCTAGGGTTATGTTTATTGTTGACAGTAATTTTAGAACCACAGAAAGTGTTAAAGACTTCTAGGTAAAATTCACACTATCTCAATAAGAATGGATACCATTTTGTAGTTCTATAAATGTTTTGGTCACAAATGAAAAAGGAGAAAGTGAGCTGAGAATGCAGAATGGAAAAGTCTAGAGAAGGAGGCAAGCAGATACAGACATAATTCAATCATAGCAAGAAAAGTACAGAGATGGTCCTTCCCAAAACTGAGTTGGCAATATTTACCTATATAAGTTAAAGCCTAGAAGAACAGTGTAACTTCTGTATATTCAACAGCAAATCTTTATTGAGAGGCTACTGTCGGGCACTGTCCTAGGAGATAGTGATACATCAGTGAACAAAACAGACAAAGATCCTTACTCAACTGGAGTTTACATTGTAGGAGCATGAGATGGAAAATAAATGATAAATGTGGTAAGTTATATAGTATATTAGAAGGTGATAAATGTTATGGGAAAAAAGGAATTAGATCAGAGTAAGGGAGAAGATGAGGGTCAAGTTGTAGTTTTAAATAAGGTGGTTAGGGTAGGCCTCTTTGAGAAGGTGATATCTTAGCGAAGATTTGAAGGAGTGAAGAGAGAGAGCCCTAAAGATACTGGTGAAAGAGTGTTACAGACAGAAGGAATGGCCAGTGCAAAGGCCCTGAGGTGGGAATGTGCGGGATGTATTGATACGCCCAAGAACCCCAGATGCTAGTGTGTCAGGGGTAAGAAGGCATAAGGGGAGAGTAGTAGAGATGGGGTTCAACTCCATAAGACCTTGTAGATCAGTGTAAGAATTTTGGCTTTTATCTGGGTGAAGTGAGGAGACTTTGTAGGGTTTTGGACAGGAGACTTATGGTCTATCTGACTTAGATTTGAAAAGAGTCATTCTAACTGCTATTTTGTGAGTAGCCTGGGGGCAGCAAGGGTAGAAGCACCAAGAGGAGTTAGAGGAATGTGGCAGTGATTCAAGGGAGATATGGTGGTGACTTGGACTAGGATAGTGTAGTGGAGGTGATGAGAATGTCAGGTTCTAGGCATGTTGTCAAGACAGAGCTAACCCATCAGGATTTCCTGAAGGATTGGCATGGGAGGCCGGGAGTGCAGGTGGAGAGAAGGGAACGAGGACTCCGAAAGTATTTCTTATGACATGCACCTGTACCTCCAACCTGGAGACAAACACTGTTAACACCAAGTGTATATCCTTCTAGAATGTTCTTGTGCATATGCATATTAGACACATTTTTTTAAAGATTTATATATTTAGTTGAGAGAGCGAGCATGAGCAGGGGGAGGGGCAGAGGTAGAGGGAGAGAGAGGGTAGGCAGCAGAGTCCCTGCTGAGTGGGGAGCCTGCCTCAGGGCTCGACCTCATGCTTATGACCCTGAGATCATTACCTGAGCCGAAACCAAGAGTTGGATGCTTAACCAACTGAGCCACCCAGGTGCCCCTTAGCCACTGTTTTTTTTTTTTTTTTACAAGAGAAACAGAATCATACTAAATGTGTTTTTGGTTTTGTTTTTTTTTTTTAAGATTATTTATTTATTTATTTGACAGAGACAGCGAGGGAGGGAACACAAACAGGGGAAGTGGGAGAGGGAGAAGCAGGCTTCCCGCTGAGCAGGGAGCCTGATGCGGGGCTTGATCCCAGGACCCTGGGATCATGACCTGAGCCGAAGGCAGATGCCTAATGACTGAGCCACCCAGGCGCCCTAAATGTGTTTTATTCTACCCTTTCCCCACCACTTACTGGATCCTGAACATTTAAGTAAGTGAAAGGTAGACTAATAAATACAGTGGTGAAGAGCCTGGTCCCTGGGATTAGATTGCTTATTAAAACCCAGCTCTGCCCCTTACTAGTTGTGTGACCTTAGACACGTGACCTAATTTCTGTGTTTTAGTTTCATCATCAGTTAATGGGGATCATAATAGGATCCACCTCAGGAGGTGGTTCTGAGGAACAAATGAGTTAGGTTTCTGGACCTCCTAAAAGAGAGCCTGGTGCATGGTGGGGGCTTACATTAGTGTTAGGTGCTAGTCTCTTTCTCTACTAATAAACGTATTTGTACAACATCTCTTAAAATAGGTACCTAGTATTCTATTGTATGGCTATAACGTGTAATTCCTCAAAATATCCACCCCAGATTTTGGTTAAATATTTTTTTTTAGTAGGTTTTATATATATATATATATACACAGCATGCATACTTGAAACATTGGCTCATTAATCTTTTCCATATTTAACTTTTTAAATATGCTTTTTTTTTTAAAAAATGACTATAATTCAAGCGATATCCTTTCTTTCCTTCAGGTCTCCATTTCTGGAATTATCTCAGTTTGCAGGTTACCAGTTATATGTGAATGAGGAGGTCCCGGCCGGTGGCATTATTACAGGCATTGGGAGAGTATCAGGGTGAGTATTCTAGTTACACTTGATAATATGGGTCAGGAAGAAGACTGACAGGCACGGGCCGTCACCCACTGCTTTGCAGGGCGAATGGGCAAGTTTTATGCTATTTGCATCATTTAGGACTGAGGCTTCCTACCCCAACATGTATTAGATTTATCTGTGGAGCTTTAGAGACAAAGATCAAAGGGGGGAAAGGGGAAACCATAACACAAATCCTGGGGCTTGAATCCAAACATTCCTGCTTAATCAGACTCTGCAGGTGTGGTCTTGGCTTATGTCATTTTCCAAGGCTCTATAGGTGGGCTCTTGCATATATAGGGTGAAGACCAGTGTCCTAGAGGAGTCGTTCTCCAAGTGTGCTCCCCAGGTAGCCTCAGCATCACCTGAGAACTTGTTAGAAACATAGATCACTAGATCTTCCTACAAAGTAACCAAATCAGGGGCACCTGGGTGGCACAGTTGGTTAAGCGCCCTACTCTTGATCTCAGTTCAGGTCTTGATCTCAGGGTCTTGAGTTTAAGCCCCACATTGAGCTCCATGCTAGGCATGGAGCTTACTTAAAAAAAAAAAAAAAAAAGGTAACTAAATCAAATTTTGAGGGTGGGGCCCAGCAGTCAGTGTTTTTTTAATAAGCCCTTCAAGCTTCTCGAATGCTAACATTTGAGAACCACTCCGGACTTAGGAAATCTTAGATTGGTAGAAGTTAAATTTACTTGTGTATATTTATGTATGGCCTCACATTTGCCATGTCAGGTTAGCTTGCCAGGCATTGTAGTAAACGCTTCCCACTGATTAGTTGTTTTAATCATCACCACAGCTCTGTGAGAATGGGTATTATTGTCATCATCACCATTAAGGCAGGTCAGGAAACCTGCTTAGCCAGGTAAATAACTCGCCTAAGATCAAGCCACTGGCAAAGCTGTGCTTGGACCTTAGGTGGTTGGACTCTGAGCCTGATACAATTGCATTTGACTCACATAATGGTTTATGGTGTGTTTTCCTCCACCTTCTCCCCATGATTCGTGCCTTCGGTGCACCTATAGCCATTAGCCATTGTTGCTTCTTCCCTCCTGTACCGCCAGCACTTCTCCACAGCTCTTTGCCAGCTATGATTTGCTTAATATTCACCCAGTGTGAAGACATTTTTTTCTTGGAGTCTTAGGGGACGCTTAAAAATAAACCTTTAAAAAAATGAGAAACTTCATGCAGAGCTAAACTGAATTCATAATCACAAAATAACCTAATTAAGTAGGACAGTTACTATTAACTCTATCTCCAGTGATAATGATGGTCACCACGTTGGAGCATTCCTTTCCACCTTTCCTGTGCATGTACTAATATTTTATTCTTATTTATGCTTTTGTATTTTTCGTTTTCATTTTCTTTATTTGTGCCTTGTTCTTAGTTTATAAAGTTCTCAGCTTGGAAGGAAATTGAATTGCATGTAGGAATTGTATGGGTTCAGTTGTCAGCCTCAATTAGAATCCTGACTTCAGCATTTTATAGCTGTTTGACCTTTAGCAAATTGCTTGACCACTCAGTGCCTTGGTTTTTTTAATCGGGAAAATACGATTCATGATCAAATGGAATGATCCTAGTAGCTACCAGAGAGGGGTGTCATGAAACAAGAGGAAGAAACAAGAAAAGGAAGAGAAATACTCCCTTCCTTAAGAGATGCACAATACAATTGATACTCTTGCCACTGAGAGTAGCAGTTGTGGGTGGCAGAGTTGAAGGTCTGGAATCTTTTCAGAGCCACAGTCATTCACAAAGTCATTAAAAGCTTTTATACCTTTATTACTTTTGTATATTTTTGAGTAGTGCTGGGTATATTGAGAGAGGCTCCATGGTAAGTTCAGAATAGACCCCAAGAAATTTCGTGAGAAAACTTTTTGTATTGAATTTATAAACCAGCTTAGAATCAAGGGCTCCTTGCCTGAAATAGTAACTGGCTGAAGAATGACTGAGCTGCAGTCTTTCTCTCTGGCAAATTTGCGGTTTTTTTTATCATGTCCTATATGGGATGGTCCCTGCCTGCTGTCCTCACCTTACCTTTGTACTTAACACTTTAGCCATCCTGGTCTTGCTGTTCTGTGAACGCACTAAACTCATTTTTGCTTTAGGGCCTATACTCGAGCCATTTGCTCTGCATCAAGTGTTCTTCACCTGGTTTCTGTGAATGGCTGGCTCCTTCTCATCTTTCAGGTCTCCAATCATACTTCCCCCAGTGCAGTGTTTAGGAGCATGCACTCGAGAGCCAGGCTGCCTAGACTCAAATGCTGGCTTTACCACTTGTTGGTTGGTATTCTTGGGCTAGTTACTTAACTTTACTATGCCTGTTTTCCCATCTGTAAAATGGGATACCTCATTATCTAAAGCCTTATAACGACACCTAGTGCATTGTAAGTGCCATGTTAGGATGGGCTGTTACTGTTATTTTTACCATCCCTTGACCATTGTATCTTAACATAGGACCATCACAATTACTTTTTTTAAATTATATATTTTACCTTGTCTTAGTAACTAATAATACATAATAATTATATATTGTATTACTATAACCCTGTGATTTGTAAGATAGTTATATTTGGTCATTCAGATGACCAAAATTTATTCCTCATAGATTTTCGGTCTTTGTCCACAGTTTCTGGCTCGCAGCTCCTCAAACCCTTGGAAGTGTTGAGCATGGTCACGGTGTCTTTTGTTATATCAACGAAGGTGGCTTTTGGTCCCCAACCAAGGCCAGGGGCTGGTTGTCAGGAGAACCGACCATGTTATTAGAGGGTTGGAACTTTTCTATCCTGCCGACTTCCCCAGTCCCCACCTTTGGGGAGGGGAGAGGGGCTGGCGGGTGAATCAGCCCGTGAAGTCATTAGTCGTGGCTGTGCAGTGAAGCCTACATAAAACCCAAGAGGACTGGGTTCTGAGAGCTTCCTGGTTGGTGGACACATGGGGATGTGGGCAGAGTAGTACGTCTAGAGAGGGCATGGAGCTCCTATGGGGTGTTAGGCTTGGGGTCCAAGCCCATTACTGAGCCGTGGTATGGACTCCAGGTAGAAAGTCCTGTTTGCTATGTACACCTTTGAAGATAGGCTGTGGGGGTCAGTCCCACTTAAACCACATGGATTAGTAAGAGGCATTTTCTGAAAGAAAGTTGAATTCCATTGCCAAAATAATAGATTCTGGGTAGGCAGAACGAGTAGATGTACAATGCAGTCTTTTTGTGGACTAATTTTATTTTTCATTCTGTATCATGTCTCTGACCTTTTATTTATTTTTAAAAAATTTTTTATTTTTTTTATTTTTTTTTTTAAGATTTTATTTATTT